CTGCCAAAACATGGTGCGCCCTGCCTGTCTGAGGGATGCGCAGCAACCAACCAACCAACCAACCACATCACCTCCATGGCAATCTCTCTGTGTGGGGATGCGTATGTGTGCAGAGCGTCGTGGCCAACACCATCAGGTATCATCAGGTACCTCGACGAGGCCAGGAGGGCGGAGCTCAGTCGGCTGGTCGGTCGGTCGCTCGATAAGGGCTGGGAAAGGCGAGTCCGTGGCAACACGGTCAGGGCTCGCCGCCCGCCACACACACGGGGGAACCACTGGCAGCCACAGCGCTTCAGCCAGCCCCCTACAGCAGCACCAACAGGCCGCCCATCTACTCTGGCTATCGGCTATCAGAATCGAGGGCGGGCCTTCAGCAGCAGCAGCGCGCCGAGACCACCACCGCAGCAACGACGGTGAATTATCGCCCCAACATTGCGCAACTGCCTAGGGAGGGAACGAGTCGGGCTGAGCCACCTAGTGGCTTTCAGCGGGGAGTGGGAGGGGTGTCTGTATCGCACGCCCGACGGCCTCAATTGTGGCGACCGCCCCAGCAGCAGCAGCGCGCCCTGCGCCCTATGTTTGGCGGACGCCAGCCGCCCACACCAGGCGCGCTTTCCAACCTGCCTCAGCTGCGGCCAGTAGCAGGCGACCAAAGGCCTGCACCGGCCACCAGGAGGACGAGAGCGAGGAGGGAGAGGAGGACGATGACGAGGAGGAGAGCGGTGGTGGTGAGGAGGAGGGTGACAGGGAGGCGGGGGAGGGGGGGAGCCGTCGACGGGCAGGACGGCATAGTGCATGAGGGTGTGCGTGAGGTGGAGTGCGTAGGACTTGTCGAAGATGGTGAGTGGGTAACGGGGCACACACGAAGGGCATGGCAGACAGAGGGACGTCTGGGTAATGTCTGACCTGACCGATCATTGTGCTGTTTGCTGTGTGTGTGTTGGTCTCGATCGTCAGGTCGTTTGTTTGAGCGATGCCAAGGCTTAGCGGCGCGTTAGGAGGAGCCAGGCAGCCCCTCGCCACCATCCACGGCTGCCGGTCAAGGTGAGGCGTCGGACGGCTCATCGCCGCAGATGCCCCTGGCGCTCCTCCCCTCCCTCACAGGCAGTACCAGCAGCCCAGACAGCGTCACCCGCGGCCATGTCGCAGGCGTCGCGCGCCAGCCTGGCGGCTTTCCGCCCGGCTGGCCGCTACATGGTCCGGCTCCCAGACAAGAAAAGAGAGGCCCAGTACTGCCTCATCGAGGGCCACTGTGACGGCCGTCGGGTGATGCTGAAGGGAGTGCTACCCAACGCCATCAGGCAACTGAGGCGACGAGGGCGTTGATCAGCGGGCGACTGAGGGCGGAGGCGGAGGCCAACGAGGCCATCAAGGGAGTGGCGGGAGTGGACGGCCTCCCAGTCACCCCTTAGTGAGACGCAGGTACCTGCAACGCATCTTGCGGGCAGAAACACAGATAAATTGGACAAACAAATCATGTGTGTCGGTGTCAGGTCTCAGGATCGTTGCCTATATCTTATATCTATCGGCTATTTTCCCTCGTGTCTCCGCACGCATACTGAGTACGGCTGCGCGATCAGTGGATTGACTTTGTGATGGCGAGGCGTCGGTCGGAGACACACCAGCCGCTTCCCTCCCTGCCGTCGACGCCACGTGACGTCGACCTCGCCCCAGTGCCGGCCCCGCATGCCGACCCTGCTGCCACTCAGAAAGGTCGCAGCCACCATCGAGGCCTTCATCAGCCGCACTGCCACCAGCAGCAGCACGACCGTGGCGCCAACCCTCGCCCTCCGCCTGCCATTCAGCGAGGCCGCAGACACGTACCCCGTCTGCTCGCTGTCGGCTGCCCTGCTGATCGCCCCCCATGTGGACCACCCCGATGGCAGCACCGCCAACACAGAGATCTACGGGGAGGCGGGGGCGTTCTTTGTCGAGAGCACCGACGGCCGGGCGCTCTACGACGGACACTTCGTGCGAAGGTGGAGGGGGAGATAAACGCCCTCGCTTCCATGCAGGCGCTCTCTGGGAGCGGCCCGGCATACTGCCACAAGTGGCTGCTGGGTGCTGTTCAGAGGCGCCTGCAATGGGAGCAACAGCGTGGCGAGGCAGGAAGCCTGGATGCCGTCAAGGATCTCAAGATGGCCAAGCTGCTGATAGAGGGGGGAATGAGTCCGGATGAGGGGGAGAGGGCATCGCTGGGGGACATCGCATCCGTGTCGACATCCTGCAGTGAGAGACAGGTATAGAGTAAATATCACAAGGAGGAACGCAGAAAGACACACACACGGGCAAACGAATCATGTGTGTCGGTGTCAGGTCTCAGGATCGTTGCCTACATTTTATTTTTATTTGTCGGCGTAGTTTCCTCGTGACTCCGCATCCACCATCGAGAAGGTAGGACGCACACGTCAAGTGGGTATCGAGGGGGGTATCTTTGCCGTGTGTGAGTGCAGGCTCGGCATGATGGCGATGCTCTGATCCGCACATCAGCCAGGCATGCCCCACCTGATGCATGAGGGGGTTGACGGACCTCCAACTGGATCCATCCATCCATCCATCCATCATCTGCACTTCGAGCTGTCTGTGCGGCCAACCAGGAGCGCAAGGACCAGCTGAGGGCGGCGCGAGAGTCAGGCGGCGTCAGGGGATCCTGCTCCTCCGCAGCGACATCATGAGCCCGGAAGCAGGCCTGCGATGGCCCCCCACGCGTCCTCTCTCCTCTGCATCGGTACACACAAGGTAGGTGTGCATGTAGAGAAGCCAGAAATACGCATGCCCTTCTTCATCTGTGTTTGTGTGTGCCTATCTCTTCTAGGGCAAGAGATACGCAGCTGCAAAGTCGGACCTGCTCGTGGCCTGCCTCCGCTGATCCACCAACACACTCTCGTTGGCTCAGCAGTCCTCGTTTGCACTGATACTTTGCTCTTTCTGCACTGATACTTTGCTCTTTCTTCGTCAACAGGAATCCGTTCGCCAGCACTCGTCATGTTATCTTCATCAGCATCGGCCGTCAAGGGAGAAAGCCTCCGTCATGACAATTCCGGCCTGCTGGTGGGCGAAAGAGCTCTGTGGTCGATTGATGATGTCACCGCTGCCAACTTCTCCTTTTGCCGACCTACCCCAGCCCACACGTCTGGCGTGACGAGAGCGGCAGACTGCACGAGCCGCCTGGCGCCGGGAGGAGACGCCAAGAGGAGAGGGACAGACACGGTCGGGGTGCCAATCTGAAGTCCAAGGCACCGTCAAAAACCACGGGGGAGGAAGGAACGGGCGGCCTCGTGCCAGCAGACCGTCAGAGGATCAAGGCGAGGCGCGTCAGGGCCATGGAGGGGTGGAAGCGGTTGGCGCTCGGGATCAAGTTGAAGATGATGGGAGAGGGAGGGTCTGCATGTACACACAAGGTAGGTCTGCATGTACAGACAAACCCGGGTCTCTCCATCTAAGCTCAGCGCATGCATATGCACATGCTATTCTCCACCTGCATCTTTATGTGTTGTCTCTTCCAGGGCAAGGCGGGACCTGCTAGTGGCCACCGTGCCAGTGCCCTGCCTCCACTGTGCCGACAAGACAGTCTCGTGCCCTCTTCTTCTTCCCGTCTCTGAAGTCCAACGAGAGACACCAGGATCGCAACCCTCACAAGCCCAGGACCGCTCAGCGCGGCCACCCAAGAGACGACGCCATCGTCTTCCCCGCTGCAGCAGCCGCCGCCGCCAAAGGACAAGCGTCCAGTCGGGACGGCATGTTGCGGGATGATCTGCCGGTGAACGCCAAGAAGAGGGGCAGGGACGGCGAGCAGGTGGCGAGGAAGAGGGAGGCTGGCAAAGTGCCCCGGCTCCCATACGGCGTCAAGCCCGGGGTGGGCAAGGAGAGGGAGTTTCTCGCAATCCTCGACATGGACAACACCCTCGTGCCAACACAGTGGCTGACAAGGACTCGGGGTGTGGGCACTGTGGGGGTGGGGGAGAGGGTGGTAATGGACAGCCAGCTCCAGCAGTGCGAGACGGCGGCCATTCGCCTCATCGAGAAGCTGGTATACGAGATGGACGCCGAGGTGATAGTGGCGACGGGCGCGCGAAGCGGTGAGTGAGTGAGCAGCAGGGTGCGATCTGAAGCCCAAGATACCACCAAAAGCGGCCGGGGAGCAAGGGACGGGTGGCCTCGTACCAGCAGATTATCGGAGTATCAAGGAGAGACGCGCTCGGGATCGTTTGTGTCGATGTCAGGTCTCAGGATCGTTGCCTACATTTTATATCTCTTGGCTTATTTTCCTCGTGACTCCGCACACAGCATCGAGAAGGTAGGACGCACACGTCAAGTGGGTTCCGAGGGGGTATATTCTACATCCAGCTGATATCCATGCACCTCTACTCCACGGCCACCCTCTACACCACCGAGTCCCCCCAGCCCAATGCTAACTACAACGTGTACCTCAACCAGGGCGACGCGGCAGCAGCCTACCCATGGACAGTGGCCATGGTGTGACAAGCAGGACGCCCAAACGTTGCTCCGACTGTGAGACATGGACGGAGGCATATGGATGGCGGGATAAAGGGGAGAGGGAGGGGGGGAACCTGTACGTGGGAGGGGGACGATGTGTGCGTGTGGTGGTGATGGCAAGATACGGGCGTGCAACATGATCTGATGTGACGAATTCGGACTGAGAGTGAAGAGATTCACGCGTATGTCTCCTGGCGCATCATGCCATCCAGCTCTTGTTCGAACTCATCCTGCAGACAGCTAGTCAGTCTGAACACATTCTCCCCCCTGCTTGGCCTCCGCAGCGGACGCCTCGCACGCCTCCCCTCTCCCTCATCTTCCTCGAGCCACTCACGGGGGTCCAGATCTCCCCTCCCTGCACTCGACCGCTCCTGCAGCTGCAGCTGCCGATAGGCGACCCTTCTGCTGCTGGCTGCCCGCGGGTGATGGTCTTCGGGGGCTCGTGTGTCGACCAGGGTGTATTCGGTGTCCTCGTCGGTGTCGAGTTTGTGTCTCGATGTGAAGAGGGACGCATGGCTGGCGGCGGATGCAATGAGACGCCGCCAGAGCTGCCGGTCCTTGTCGCTTGTCTTGAGGATGAAATAGACAATGACGCCCACCTGCATCCCCGCAACACACACCGGGTTTGATTGCACGGATGGTGTCTCGTGACTGGTTTCTTGACAATTCTGACCAGCAAGAAGGCGAGGATGAGGTAGTGCGACCTCTCGAGGCGATGCAAGATCCCGGCGATCCCTGCATTCAGGCACACGCAGAGGATGATAAGCCGAGCTGATAAGTACATGCTGTCCTTCTGCGTGCATACCAATGTTGGCCGGGCAGATCACTTTCTCTGGCGCCCACGCCTCACCGCCGACGCACCTGGCACGAACAGGCACATAGAGACACAGAGAAAACCGGCACACATCATGCAGATATGCTGAGAAGAGCATTGAGCCCCCTACCTGTCGCCCGGTATGCGCACAAATCCCTTGCTGACGAACGCATGTGGCTCCCCCCGGTGGGCACACAGCTCGGTCGCATTCGTCGGGTCGGGATACACGCTGTCGTCAATCGGGTGGCACGTGGGCGGCTGCCCTCCATCACTACCTCGTCCCCGTTCGAAGCCGTAGTCGCACTCGAAGTCCTCTGATGTGCACTTGCAGGCGGTGAAGGAAACAGCCTCTGCCAGGTGGTTGCCAGACCGGCACGCAGCAGCGGGCTTTCTGCGCACCAAGTACACCTGCAGCAGACACAGACAGCGTTTCCTTTTTTTTCTTGTCTTTGCGGCGAGTTTCTGGCCACTGACCGTCTGTCCCATGTGGCAACGGTCGGCTTCCTTCGGCCAGTCCTCGAAGTCAGACGCAGTGAGATCGATGCTGTCCCAACCTGCGACAACACACAACGCTCGATGTACGTCACATGGACTCGTCGCCCCATTCCCTGTGCGTGTCTCACATTTGCACTCTCTGTCGAAGACGCCGTCAAAGTCGATGGCCACCAGATATGGCCGAAAGGCCAGCTGCTGCTTCTGACCGCCCACAACGGCCGCCATGCCCTTGCCTTTGACCATGTCCAGTGGTTCCCATGGTGTATGCGGCCTGCCGGTGGTCCACACTAGCACCTGTGCCGACGTGTGTGGGGGCGACGCCAGCACGCGATGGAGCCATAGCGTGGCGTCACGAGTGATCTCAGCCATGGCGACTGGGTGCCAATTAAGGCCCCAGTCGGTTGAGTATCTTGAGAATGCGATTGTGCCGTCTTTATGAGAAGCGAGCAGGACGTCACCGCCCAACAGTATAGACACCTCCCAATCTGGATGCGACAGACATACACAATAAAAAAGCGGACCCTCACCGCTGGCTTCTTTCGGCCGGGTACCTCCAGGGAGTGACTGCATCCATGTTTGTCCCCCGTCATGGGACACGAACACGCCAATCTGTAGAGCATAACCATACGGATGCACGCAAACAAAGCCATGAATGGTGGTTTCTGCTGGGCTGACCATTCCTGGCACCTCCTTCATCAGCTGATAGCCAACATTCCCACGACCTGCAGTGGATCCACACAGAGCATCGTCTGTATGCTTTCCTATGTCCCTTTTGGCGTCCTACCGACGATGAGCCCCGGTGCTGCCTCGGTGGACATCCATTCGTCGAGGTGCAGCATGCATCGAGTGTCAGACCCAGATGCATCGCACCCAAAATCGGAACCCTTGATGAGATCAACACATTCATGTTTTTGATGCTTGCATGTCCCTTGCTGGCTTACGAACTGCGGCTTGGCTGGCGGCCTGAGCCTGTACCAGGATGCCCCGCTGTTCCATGACATGTACGTCACCACGGGTAAATCATCGAGGGAATGCCGGGCCTGACATAAGCCACCGCAAGATTCCTAGCTCAGCCAGCTCCTTCTGATCCCCCCCCCCCCCCC